TTATTTTTTTTAAATTTTTATTTATTTATTTATGATAGTCACAGAGAGAGAGAGAGAGAGGCAGAGACACAGGCAGAGGGAGAAGCAGGCTCCATGCACTGGGAGCCCGACATGGGACTCGATCCCGGGTCTCCAGGATCGCGCCCTGGGCCAAAGGCAGGCGCCAAACCGCTGCGCCACCCAGGGATCCAATATTTGTTTCCCTGTGAGAAAGTAACTGTTATCTGTGATATTGAGAGTTTCTTTTTTTTTCTTTTTTACTTATGATAGTCACAGAGAGAGAGAGAGAGAGAGAGAGAGAGAGAGAGAGGCAGAGACACAGGCAGGGGGAGAAGCAGGCTCCATGCACCGGGAGCCCGATGTGGGATTCGATCCCGGGTCTCCAGGATCGCGCCCTGGGCCAAAGGCAGGCGCCAAACCGCTGCGCCACCCAGGGATCCCCAGTGTTAACTTTTTAAAAAGCAAGTTACTAAGTTGTACCAAATGAATGATCCCAGTTTTGGGGAAAAAAAAAAACAAACAAACCAAAAACTGAATACGTAATTTTGTGCCTGTGTAGAAGAAAAAAAAAAATTCCTGTTTTAAAGAATTTGGACAGGCAAATTATAAAGTAGTGCTTCTTTAAAAAACAAAACAAAACAAAACAAACAGGGGCAGCCTGGGTAGCTCAGCAGTTTGGCGCTGCCTTTGGCCCAGGGCCTGATCCTGGAGACCTGGGATCAAGTCCCATGTCAGGCTCCCTGCATGCTTCTCCCTCTGCCTGTATCTCAGTCTCTCTCTCTTTCTCTCTCTCGGTCTCTCATGAATAAATAAAATCTTAAAAAAAAGATAAAAAATATTTTTTAATTGTATAATGAGCCTGTCGATTAAACCTATCGTCTTTCTTCTTCTTCTTCTTTTTTTTTTTTTTAAAGATTTTATTTATTTATTCATGAGAGACAGAGAGGCAGAGACATAGGAGAGGGAGAAGCCGGCTCCCTGTGGGGAGCCGGATTCAGTACTGGATCTCAGGACACTGTGATCATGACCTGAGCCAAAGGCAGACACTCAATCACTGAGCCACCCAGGTGCCCCAAACCTATCTTATTTCTTAATTTTTCCTCAGTCACTTTAAGAATACCTCCTAGCACTCTTAGCTGTAACCTTTTCTGGAAGCTAAACTTGTCTTGAGTGCTGAGTGAATTAAGGCAACACTGTAAATGGAAACATAGTTAATATCCAGTAGTTTGGGGTACTACTGTAAATATAAGTTTTAGTGTTCCCCCACTGCTCCCCCATGGCAAAAGTATAGTGCCTCAGTATTTTATAGAATATTCTTTTTAAAGATTTTATTTATTTATTCATGAGACACACACACACACACACACACACAGGCAGAGACATAAGTAGAGGGAGAAGCAGGCTCCATGCAGGGAGCCGGATGTGGGACTCGATCCTGTGACTCCAGGATCACACTCTGAGCCAAAGGCAGACGCTTAACTGCTGAGCCACCCAGGCGTCCCTAGAATATTCTTTTACCCTGTTAAGTTGATTCCAAGATGTTTTTTTGTGCGTGTGGCTTTTTTTTTTTTTTTTTTTTAGTTTTTAATTTGTTGGAAATTGGGATGTATATTAAAATCTGTGAAATCTTAAGTTCCCATCAGCCAGGTGGCAATTGAGACCTAGTTGTGGGAGAACCTTCCATTGAAATCTTTTTTTTTTTTTTTTTTAAGATTTTATTTATTTATTCATGAGAGACAGAGAAAGGCAGAGACACAGACAGAAGGAGAAACAGGCTCCTCGCAGGAAGCCTGATGTGGGACTCAGTCCCCTTACCCGGGATCATGCCCTGAGCCAAAGGCAGATGCTCAACTGCTGTGCCATTCAAGAGGGTCCCTTCATTGAAATTTTTTTTTTAAAGATTTTATTTATTTATTCATAGACACAGAGAGAGAGGCAGAGACACAGGCAGAGACACAGGCAGTGGGAGAAGCAGGCTCCATGCAGGGAGCCCGACGTGGGACTCGATCCTGGGGTCTCCAGGATCACTCCCCAGGCTGCAGGCGGCGCCAAACCGCTGCGCCACCGGGGCTGCCCCCCTTCATTGAAATTTTCTTTTTTCTTTTTAAAGATTTTATTTATTCATAGAGACAGAGGGAGAGAGGCAGAGACACAGGCAGTGCCAGAAGCAGGCATCATACAGAGAGCCTGACGTGGGACTCAATCCAGGGTCTCCAGGATCATGCCCTGGGCTGCAGGCGGTGCTAAACCGCTGCGCCACCGGGGCTGCCCCTCGTTGAAATTTTCTAATAAATTTTTTTTGAATGCCAACATCAGTGTCTTAAATTTGATAAAATGTTTCTTTTTGAATGATGGATTTGAGCCCTAACTAATACCTTGCAGCATGTTGACTGCTATTTTTCAGAGATTTGTGTTAGTAAACAATATTTATTGAGTACTTATCAAAGACAAAGCACTGCTTGAAGAGTAGCTACCTTACAGATAGTAAGGGAGAGTGTTAGGACATTGGTAATCATAGAGCTTTTTTTTTTTTTTAATATTTTATTTATTTATTTAACACAGAGAAAGAAAGAGCCAGAGAGCACAAGCAGGGGGAACAGCAGAGGGAGAGGAAGAAGCAGGCTCCCTGCTGAGTAGGGAGCCTGATTGTGAGGCTTGATCCCAGAACTCTGGGATCATGACCCCAGCTGGAGGCAGATGCTTAACCAACTGAGCCACCCAGGTGCCCCATTCATAGAGCTTTTATAAATGATCTTCTTAAAAATCTTTGTGTAGATTTTATAGAAATGTGAGGTGTCTGTGTTCTGCATGCAATTGTAAGTGGTAATTTAAGTCAAATCTTTAAAGTTGTGTGTGTTTTTAAGAATTTATCTATCTCTTTGAGAGACAGAGGTAGAGTGCACACAAGAGCCCCTGGGCAGGAAGGGGCAGAGGGAGAGGGGAAGGGACAAGCAGATTCCCCTGGAGTGCAAAGTTGGAGGCAGTGCTCATCCCAGGACCCAGAGATCATGACCTGAGCCAAAGTCAGATGCTTAACCCACTAAGCCACCCAGGTGCCCCAAATTTTAAAGTTTTAAGACCAGTTAGAGCATTTTTCAACATAACTACAACCTGTCATGGTAAAACCTTCTGTTCCATCTTTGCAACTTAGTATTACTGACCCTAGTTTACGGTTCCAGAAGAACCTGTCTTGTTGGAGGCAAGTGAAATAAAGGAGGCCATCTAACAGATCGTTCCACCTCTGCTAATCTAGTTATGGGGAAATAACAGGAAGAGTTAGAAGTTCAGGGTTTAGGACTACAGAACTCCACCTTGCTGAGAGGTCATCTAATTCTTGTAAGTTCCTGAACTTCTTTTATACTGTTTCACATATAGCTACAGAGATGTCTGAGCAAGACTGAGCCTCTTTGGATGTGTTCTGTCAACATAGAACTAATTTATTTTTACTTTATTCCGTAAGAAATTTGTTCTTCAGAGCTTATACTTATATACCTTTAAATGAAGTGATTCTGAAGTGAATGGAAAATAGATACCAAATTGAACAGATAATTATAGATCAGATTCCCAACGTCTGTATGTAAATATTCTATATGAGAATTAGAAAATTCAGATTTTGGGGTAGCCCGGGTGGCTCAGTGGTTTAGTGCTGCCTTCAGCCCAGAGTGTGATCCTGGAGATCCGGGATCCAGTCCCATGTTGGGCTCCCTGCATGGAGCCTGCTTCTCCCTCTGCCTGTGTCTCTGCCTGCCCCCCCCTCTCATTAATAAATAAATAAATAAATAATAAATAAATCTTTAAAAAAATTCAGATTTTGGAAAAATATTCAAGATACATTGACAGTAAGTAGTCCACTTTAAATTTTTTTTTTTAATTTTTATTTATTTATGATAGTCACAGAGAGAGGGAGAGAGGCAGAGACATAGGCAGAGGGAGAAGCAGGCTCCATGCACTGGGAGCCCGATGTGGGATTCGATCCCGGGTCTCCAGGATCGTGCCCTGGGCCAAAGGCAGGCACCAAACCGCTGCGCCACCCAGGGATCCCAGTAGTCCACTTTAAACACTTCCATTTGATTTGTTTTAATAAGAAATGTAAAAATGTTTTTGTTATAACACAAATAGTAAATTGCTGTTCTGAACCTATTGGCAAGGTAAGTAGAATGAGTACCTAAAACATATTAAAATCTTTGCTGTATCTATTTGCAGATACACGCTGCTACTATCCTTAGTACAGTAATGTAGATATTAGTATTTGGCATTTATTGAGTGCTTATAATGTGCCATGTACTTTACATAGAATATTTCATAATCCTTTGAGGTTTGGTTACTGTTACTCTCATTTTATTTATAGGGAAACTGAGTCACACAGAGCTCATTTAAGTTCCCTAGGGGTCCTCAGCTAGAAAGTTGTAGTATCAAGTTGTAGTACTAGACTGCTTGACTTTTTTTTTTTTTTAAGATTTATTTATTTATTTATGATAGACATAGAGGCAGAGACACAGGAGGAGGGAGAAGCAGGCTCCATGGCGGGAGCCCGACATGGAACTCGATCCCGGGACTCCAGGACCGCGCCCTGGGCCAAAGGCAGGCGCCAAACCGCTGAGCCACCCAGGGATCCCCGACTGCTTGACTTTAAAGCCTGTAGTATTATTTTACTGAGATCTTCTTACTACTTTGTATATGTTTGAAGGTATAAAAGTGGAGCTTTAAGGAAATTAAATTTATGAGGTTTTTATAAGGAACTATTTAAAATTTTACATAAGTTTTTTTATTTAAAATTAATAAATTTTTATTTAAGATATTTGACAAAGTTAATAAATTTTTATTTAAGATATTTGACATGTGATTCCTTCTGCCCGCAATCACCGTAGTTCCAAAGCCAGAGTGATGATCTTCAAAATAGCACTTTTATTTTTTTAATTTATTTTTATTTTTTTTAAGATTTTATTTATTTATTCATAGAGACAGAGAGAGAGAGGCAGAGACACAGGCAGAGACAGAAGCAGGCTCCACGCAGAGAGCCCGACGTGGGACTCGATCCAGGGTCTCCAGGATCACACCCTGGGCTGCAGGCGGTGCTAAACCGCTGCGCCACCCGGGCTGCCCCAAAATAGCACTTTTAAAACAAACTTTTGTTCAATCCACAGCTGTCACTGTCCTTTAAGTCCAGGCACTGTTTTCAAGTGAAAAGCCTTAATATTCATATTCCTATCTCTTCCTTTTCAGACCATTCTATCCTCTGTCCCATGTTTTTGGATTTTGATGCTCTCTTTTTAGACGAAGAAGCTTCTTCAGCATATTCCTCTTGTCCTAAATACAGATTCATTTTCTTTGGCATTTCAGAACTTACTATGGAATCATTATTGTCCACCAATTTGATATCACATCCGTCATCATGTTCAAGAGTTGTTGCAGCCTCTTCCACTGTTTCTGACTCTTTGATAGGAGAGAGAGATACATCATCATCCAAGTATTTGTATCTACGACTGTCAAAATCTTCCCTTTCTAAATATTCACCAACATTCATTTGTTTCAAGGATTCCTTGAGATAGTATTCATACTTCAATTTTTCAAGGTAGTTGAAAAATCCTCTTGCCACCGCTTGGTCAAAGGTTAAAATCTTTCTCCATGGTAATGGCTTTTGTACATTCTCAGATTCTAAAAATGGGAACCCAGATCCTTTGTCTTTAACTTGTTTCTTATTTATTTGGGAGGGTCTAGTGGTTTTTCTTCCTTCTGGTCTTCCCCTTGGTCTTTCTTTTGGCTTATATTTCCTCTTTTTACATTTCTTTTTTTTGAATCTTTCAAAAATAGCTTTTAAAGTCAGTGGTCTTGGTTCAAAAGAGGAGTCACTAGATGAATCCCTTGCTTCAACACCTCCAGATGAGCGAACAAACTTTCTAATAGGGTTTCTTTGACCCTGTTTTGGTGAGTAAGGGACACACTGAGTCTTAAATAAGCTGCTACCAGAAGAATTATCACTTTCATTGTCAATTTCTACAGCTGAATTAGATGCCATTATAGGTTGAGAAAATTCGTTACATATTCTCCCCCAAGTCCTCTCCAAATTGTATTCACCACTTGTTTGCTTCAGAGTTCTCAACAACCACGCGGAAGGAGAGAATTTTACATAAGTTTAAAGGTCACAAGGACAATTAACTGTCCCTCCAATTATGGGTTGAGATTATTATGATGACTTCAGTTTATATCTTAAATTCACTGGAAAAAGCAGATTTTTTGTTGTTGTTTTTGGACTGCTTGAATTAGAGAATGATAAATCCTATTGCAGAAGGATTTTTAAAATTTTAATTACTTAATTAAAAACAATTTATATATTTATTTATTCATGAGAGACGCACAGCAGAGAGAGGCAGAGGGAGAAGCAGGCTCCATGCAGGGAGCCTGATGCGGGACTTAATCCCAGGACTCCAGGACCACGCTCTGGGCCAAAGGCAGGCACTCAACTGCTGAGCCACCCAGGTGTCCCAAGGATTTTTGTTTTCAATTGGCAAATTTGTTTAGTAGCAACTTTCTCATTAAGCAGGGAGTAGGTTGGTGCTGGTGTTAAGAAATACACATCTAAGAATACTAGTTCTGGGGATAGAAATGATATTACATCTCTCACAGAAATGACAATAGGAGGATGATACGAGGAAGTAAATTTCTTAATGCAATATTGGGTTATGCTTTTATTATTTTATTTTTTTAATTTTTTAAAATTTATTTATGATAGTCACACACACAGAGAGAGAGAGAGGCAGAGACAGGCAGAGTGAGAAGCAGGCTCCATGCACCGGGAGCCCGATGTGGAATTCGATCCCGGGTCTCCAGGATAGCACCCTGGGCCAAAGGCAGGCGCTAAACCGCTGCGCCACCCAGGGATCCCTGGGTTATGCTTTTAAAATAATAATGCCCTAATACTTTTCGAAGTATATTTAATCAGAATAGGACACTTGAACAGTTTAAGGTTAAAGCTTTTTTTTTTAAACATTTTTTTATTTATTTATGATAGTCACACACAGAGAGAGAGAGAGAGAGGCAGGCTCCATGCACCGGGAGCCTGACGTGGGATTCGATCCTGGGTCTCCAGGATCGCGCCCTGGGCCAAAGGCAGGTGCCAAACCACTGTGCCACCCAGGGGTCCCTGGTTAAAGCTTTTTTGGTTGTTCTTTCAGCTGAGTCTGTTAAGTGGTATTCCTTACCTCTCAGCATCTTTAGAGGCACCTGTGTGGCTCAGTGGTTGAGAGTCTACCTTTGGCTTAGGTCATAATCCAGAGGTCCTGGGATCAAGTCCCACATTGGGCTCCCCTTGGGGAACCTGCTTCTCCCTTTGCCTATTTCTTTGCCTTTCTGTGTCTCTCATGAATAAAATAAAATCTTAAAAAAAAATGATGTGAATATAGGGGCACCTGGGTGGTGCAGTCAGTCAAAGTCTCCTGCTCTTTATTTCAGCTCAAGTCATGTTCTCAGGGTGGTGAAATTGAACCCTAGCTTGGGCTCCACACTCAGCACAGTCTACTTAAGAGACTCTCTGTCCCTCTGCCTCTGCCTTTCCCTAAAACTAAATAACTTTTTAAAAAGAATTTATTTATTCATAAGAGACAGAGGCAGAGGGAGAAGCAAGCTCTGTGCAGGGAGCCCAATGCAGGACTCAATCCCAGGACACTCTGGGATCACACCCTGAGCTGAAGGCAGACGCTCAACCACTGAGCCACCCAGGCATCCCAATAAATAATTAAATGACATGTGAAAATAAAGTATTACACTAATTTTCCCTGTGCCTCTGCCAACAATTTCAGAAGAAAAGTTTCAAATTATTTGAAGGCTATTGTCAACCACTGAGCCACCCTGGCATCCCTTCACATGTCATTTTTTTTTTCACATGTCATTTTTGATTGAAAAATAGGATTACTCAGATTATTTCCCATTTGAATCTGAGTCAGTTTTGGATATTAAACAAAACAAAGTCCACACTAAAGAAATAAGGATATGCCACTAATAAGAACATTAAGAAATTGTACAATAGGCTCTGAAGGCAGTTCTCAAAAAAGGAATTCTGAATTGTTTTGAGCAGTGTGGGTGTAGCACTGTTTGAGTGGGGGAATATAGCCAGTCTTCTGAGGTATTTGCTCTGAAGGGAGCAAAACTCGTTTGAATTCTTGTAGTTGGGCTTAAAAAAAAAAAAAATGAAACCCTTATTACTTAAGGTCCATCTTGATCTTAATCAGTCAACTGCCTTTTCCCCCATTGGGTAAACAGGGATAATGGTGTATTCAAGCTGTTAAGGACTAAGCCCTGTGGAAAAACTCTGGTGCTAAGGTTTGCTTTTGTTTTTGTTTTTTTCAAGTATAATAACTGTGTTCTCAGGGTTCCTACCCTGTGTTCTTTGGAATTTGTTAATCATATTTCAACATTTACTCTGAATAAGACAAAATTTGCTAGACAAAGAGTGAAATGCCTTATTGAAGATATGGAAATTATGTATAATTTAGATTTAAGATTTTTTTTTAAGATTTTATTTATTTGAGAGAGCGAGAGAGAACGTGAGCATGGAAGAGAGGGAGAAGCAGATTTAGAATTTAAAGAATCTTGTGTTAAAAGGGCTGTAGGGGGCACCTAAGTGGTTCAGTCAGTTAAATGTCTGACTCTTGGTTTTGGCTCAGAGGGTCATGATTTCAGTGTCCTGGAATCAACCCCTGCATCAGGCTCCACACTCAGCTGGGAGTCTTTTTTGTTTTTTTTAAAATTTATGATAGTCATACAGAGAGAGAGAGAGAGGCGGAGACACAGGCAGAGGGAGAAGCAGGCTCCATGCACCGGGAGCCTGACATGGGATTCGATCCTGGGTCTCCAGGATCGCGCCCTGGGCCAAAGGCAGGCGCCAAACCGCTGCGCCACCCAGGGATCCCTCAGCTGGGAGTCTACTTGTTTCCTCTCTTTGCCCCTCTCCTGTCTTGTGTTCTCTCTCTCTCTCTCTCTCCCCCAAAATTTTTTTTTTTTTTAAGATTTTATTTATTTATTCATGAGAGAGATACACACACGGAGAGAGGCATAGACACAGGCACAGGGAGAAGCAGGCTCCATGCAGGGAGCCCGACTTGGGACTCCATCCCGGGACTCTGGGTCATGCCCTGGGCCAAAGGCAGGCGCTAAACCGCTGAGCCATCCAGGGATCCCCTCTCCAAAATCTTTTTAAAAAGGGGGGTGGGCTTTAAAATGAGTGCCCTTCCTGAGCTTTTAATTAATCTCTACCTTATGTAACTTTTCTGCAGATTTTCTATTGGTGAAGTATGGAATGAGTTATGTACAAAGAGATTCCTTACATTAAAATAATGTTAGGAGGTTGCAAAACTGGAAAAGTTACTTGAGGATATATAACTATTATATTAATATTAAGGAAATCAGTTATTTCTAGTGTTAAAATTTTTTTTTTCTATTGTGACCAAATCTGGTAGTGTGTGTGTCTAAATGCTCTTAGATCATGAACTCATTAAGAAATGCCACGGGGCGGGGGGGGGATCCCTGGGTGGCTCAGCGGTTTAGTGCCTACTTTCTGCCCAGTGCATGATCCTGGAGTCCTGGGATTGAGTCCCACATCGGGCTCCCTGCATGGAGCCTGCTTCTCCCTCTGCCTGTGTCTCTGCCTCTCTCTCTCTCTCTCTCTGTGTGTCTCTCATGAATAAATAAATAAAATCTTTTTTTTAAAATTTTTTTTAAAATTTTTATTTATTTATGATAGTCACATAGAATGAGAGAGAGAGAGGCAGAGACACAGGCAGAGGGAGAAGCAGGCTCCATGCACCGGGAGCCCGACGTGGGATTCGATCCCGGGTCTCCAGGATCGCGCCCTGGGCCAAAGGCAGGCGCCAAACTGCTGCGCCACCCAGGGATCCCAAATAAAATCTTTAAAAAAAAAATGCCACTGGGTCTTTGAATTCCCTAGCACTTGACAAAGGACCTAAAAGAGTAAATGCTTATGTTTTAGGGAGTCACATTCTTTGAGAATGACAGCTCCCTTCTCTCCAAATTCTGCATGCAATTTCAAGGGATTACTGATACTTGAATTTTCTTCATAGACCTTAGGTGGTCAGCCCCTAGTCTAGGACATGTGGTGGACTAAAATGGCTAAATATATTTGTACTGCTTAATTACTCATGTTCTTGATGACTAAAGTTTTAGCTAAAAATTAAGATTGAAATCTTGGTTATATAGTAATATAGCAAATTATGATCCTTGTGTAGGATTCCTCTTGTAATTTAAATACTATAATACTGGGGTGTCTGGGTGGCCCAGTCCAATAAATGTCTGCCTTCTTCTTAGGCCCTGATCCCAGGGTCCCCCCCACCCTCAGCTTGTGTGTGCACCCACTTAGGCATGCATACTCTTTCTTTCTCTAATGAATTAAAATCTTTAATTTTAATTTTAATTTTTTTAAAGATTTTATTTATTTATTCATGAGAGACACACAGAGAGGCAGAGACACAGTCAGAGGGAGAAGCAGGCTCCATGCAGGGAGCCCGATGTGGGACTCGATCCCGGGACTGCAGGATCACACTCTGGGCTGAAAGGCGGCGCTAAACTGCTGAGCCACTGGGGCTGCCCGTAATAAAATCTTTAAAAAGTACTGTAAAACTTATGTAGGAGAGGTTAAGAATTTTATTTTTTATTTTTAAAAAATATTTATTCATGAGAGACAGAGACAGAGGCAGAGACTCAGGCTGAGGGAGAAGCAGGCTTCCTGCAAGGAGCCCGATGTGATCCTGGGATCCAGGATTGAGTCCCACACCCTGGGCCAAAGGCAGATGCTCAACCACTGAGCCACCCAGGCGTCCCGAGGTTAAGAATATTAGAGCAATGTTGTGAGAGGCATTAACAAAACCTGCCATCCATAGCAATCTAGACCTCTATTTCTATGGTCCCGTGGAGATAAAGGTTGCTATACCTCACTTGGAAAATATAATGAAATAAAACAAAATAACCTGGTTCTGTTTTAGCCTTGCTTTTTAGAATATCAGAAGACATATTTTATTTTATTTTATTTTTTATATTTTATTTTATTTTATTTTTTAAAAGATTTTACTTATTTTTTCATGAGAGACACAGAGAGAGACTCAGAGACACAGGCAGAGGGAGAATCAGGCTTCATGCAGGGAGCCTGATGTGGGACTCGATCCCGGAACTCCAGGATCACGCCCTGAGTTGAAGGTGGACGCTCAACTGCTGAGCCACCCAGGTGTTGTCCCTGTTATGAATATTTGGTTCTTGATACATTAAAAATCAGAGTAATTACAAAAGCACATTTTTAAAGCTGTATTTGTGCTTTGATAATATTCTATGTGCATACATTGTGGGTAAAGAATAACTTTGGTGAAGTTTAGCCAAATATGTGTATATATGTACCCCCATCATATATACTAAAGTCTTCTAAATAAAAGATTCATTACATCTTCTATATGCTGTTTACATATATACCCTGATTGAATTAATTATTAACAAGGTGGTGTAAGGAGGGGACTTTTAAAAGTAGGTTAAATTATTATATGTGTGAATTATTATAAACAAGCTCTCCTGGGTTATTGTTTGAGCTACCAAATATGTCCTGAAGTGTACATCTCTCATTAGGCATATTAGACATTTCTACTAGTATGGCTTTTTAAAAAAAATATGTCTTATTTATACTAAAGAGTTAAACACTAACTGGATTCTACTTTTCTTCGTAAGTGTCTTCTATATTGGGCTTATCCTCCTGGATATTGGACAGTGTCTACCCACTCCACGAGCCTAGAAGCTGGAAATCAGTGAAGATGATTTCTGCTTCCTTTTTCCACATATCCAATTATTTTTAGTACCTCATGTCTTTGGTATTTATCTCCTCTTCATTCCTACTGCTACCATGTAAGTTTATACTCATTTGTCACTCACTTGGACTGCAACAGTAGCCTCTACTGTCTTACATCCCTCCAGTCAATGATGCTACCAGAGTAACCTTTTGAAAGCTCTAATCTGACTTGTTGCAACATAATTAATTAATTAATTAATTAATTTTAAAAAAAGGAAAGAAAGAAACTACAAGCTCATCTTAAGTAAAAATTTTTTTGTGTGGCATACAGGGCCCTTCATGATCTGGTTCTTACTTGCTTTTCCAACTGTATGTCTAGTTCTTTCCCCATTGGTAATTTTTGACAGTGCTATTGCCTAAGTTGTTATTTTCCTGGAATGCCCTTCACAACTTTTCTCCTACTGTCTTTAGTCCGGGGAAACTCCAACTTATATTTTAAAATTCAGTTCACTGAACGAACTGAAATCTTCTCGGGTTCACCCCCTCTAACCTACACTCCTAATTAAATTGTTTTAAGGGAAAGCCAGACATCCTGTCCTTTCATCCTTAAATATTGGCGTCCCAAAAAGATACAAGTTCATTTTAAAAATGTAATTGTGTTATTATTATTATTGTTTTATTATTTTCTAAAGTAGGCTCCACAGGTGTCCCTCTTGGATAAACTTCTGAGTGAGTTTGAGTTAGGGTCCAAAATAAAATCCACAGGGGTACCGGGGCAACTCATTGGTTGAGTGTCTCCCTTTGGTTCAGGTGTGGATTCTGAGGCCTGGGATTAAGTCCTCTGGGTATGTCTGTGTCTCTCATGAATAATAAATAAAATCTTAAAAAAACAAAATAAAATCCACAGTTACATCTGGTTGATATTCCTCTTAAGACTTTCTTAAATTGATAGATTTACCTCTCTCTTTTTTTTTTTTTTTGAGAGGGGGAGGGAGAGCTAGAGAGCAGAGAGAAAAAGAATCTTTTTTTTTTTTTTAAAAGATTTTATTTATTTATTCATGAGAGACACAGAGAGAGAAGCAGAGACACAGACAGAGGGAGAAGCAGGCACCATGTGGGGAGCCCGATGTGGGACTTGATCCTGGGACTCCAGGATCACGCCCTGAGCCGAAGTCAGACGCTCAACCGCTGAGCCACCCAGGTGCCCTGAGAAAAAGAATCTTAAGCAGGCTCCATGCTCAGTGCAGAGCCTAATGCAAGTTCTGTCTCATGACCCTGATAATGACCTGAGCTAAAATCAAGAACTGAACGCTTAACCAACTGAACCACCCAAGCGCCCCCTCTTTTTTAAATAAATAACTTTATTGAAATATAATTCATATGCCATACATTCACTTATTTAAATAAATAATTGAGTATTTTTTAGTATATTCACAGTTTTACAACCATTATAACATAAATTTTAGAATATTTTTATCACCTAAAAAACTCCCATACCCATTATCAGTCACTCCCCGTTTCTCCCCAAGCTCTAGACAGCCAGTCTACTTTCTATGATTATATATTTGCCTATTCTGTAAATGTACAGGTTTATATTTCATATAAATGGAATCAAATATAATATATGGTCTTCTGTGACTGGCTTCTTAGCCTAATATTTTCAAAGTTCCTGTGTTGTAAACATGTATCAATACTTCCTTTTCATTTTTTTTTTTAAAGATTTTATTTATTTATTCATGATAGTCACACAGAGAGAGAGAGAGAGGCAGAGACACAGGCAGAGGGAGAAGCAGGCTCCATGCACCGGGAGCCCGACGTGGGACTCGATCCCGGGTCTCCAGGATCGCACCCTGGGCCAAAGGCAGGCGCCAAACCGCTGCGCCACCCAGGGATCCCTCATCTTTTTTTTTAAAGATTTTATTTATTCATGAGAGGCACAGAAAGAGGCAGAGATAAAGGCAGAGGGAGAAGCAGGCTCCCTGTGGGGAACTCAATGCGAGATTCGATCCCCGGACCCTGGGATCACGACCTGAGCCAAAAGCAGATACTCAACCACTGAGCCACCCAGGCATCCCATTCTTTTTCATGGTTAATGTTCCAGTGTATGAACATTTGAATTGTTTTCTACTATTTGGCTATTGAAAATAATGCTAATATGAACATTAGTGTATAAGTATCACGGCACACGTTTTCATTTCTCTTGAGTATTTACCCAGAAATAGAATTATTGGGTCATATGAGAACTCTGTGTACCATTTGAGGAACTGAGACTATATTCCAGAGTAGCTGTACCTTCGAATAGTCCTACCAGAAATGTCTGTTCTAATTTCTCTGCATCTTCACCAACACTTTTTTCCTCTCTCTTTTTTTAACTTTATTTGTTGGCAATTGAATATGTTTAACTACTGAACTGCTCTCTTCAGTTTTAAGGAATTCACTGTTTGAACAGGATAATTATATTGTATTACAAACTGAAGGATATTATCCTAATACTAAGAGTAATAGAAGGTTACTATGTTTCTAACACTGGGGTCACCAGACATAATCATGGAAAGCTCTAACCCCAAACTTAGCTAGCTCCTTATTTATTCCACAATATTTCTTCTCTGCTTTAATTAATAAAACTTCCCATGCAAGGTCTAGTTATATCTCACCTTCTCTATCTCATGGAACTAAATTTAGGTTAGTAGATTTGGTGGAGAAAAATACTAAATCCCTTGGCATGAAATCTATCATGTAGGCATTATACTGGAATTTCATAACATTAATGATGTAATGAGCGACATGTAGTAAGGGCATTAATTTATTGGTTTTCTAGGAAAAAATTCAAGCAGCTTAAAAGTCTTTCTCTCCCTGAAAATCACTTAACTGTCATTTAATACTCCAGAAAAATTCTGTGCATATATAAATGTATCTATGCATTTTTATTTTAATTTTCAAATTTTTTAAATTTAAATTCAATTTGCCAGCATATAGTATAATAACCCAGTGCTCATCCCATCAAGTGCCCTTCTTAGTGCCTGTCTCCCAGTCACCCATCCCCCTGCCTGCTCCCCTTCTGTAACCCTTTGTCTCCCAGAGTTAGGAGTCTCTCATAGTTTGTCTTCCTCTCCAATTTTTCCCCACTCAGTTAAAAAATAGGGAATGCTTCACGAATTTGTGTGTCATTTTTCCACAGGGGCCATGCTTTATCTCTGTATTCCAATTTTTAGTATATGTGCTGCCTAAGTGAGCACTCTGCATTTTTGAACTATAAATATAGTTATACTTAGGGGTGCCTGGGTGGCTCAGTCAGTTAAGTGTCCGACGCTTGGTTTAGGCTCATGATCCTCAGGGTTGTGGGATCCAGCCCTGGGTCAGGCTCCCCACTTTGCAAGGCGTCTGCTTGAGTTTCTCTCCCCCACCCCTTACCCTGCTTGCATACATGCATGCTCACTCTTTATCTCTAAAATAGATCTTTTTTTTTTTTTTTAAGAAAGATTTTTTTTTTATTCATTTGAGAGAGCAAGAGAGAGTGAGCAGAAGTATGGGAGGGGCAGAGGGTGAGAGAGAAGCAGACTCCCCACTGAGCAGGGAGCTGGTTGGGGGTCTTGATCTCAGGACTCCAGGATCATGACTAAGCCAAAGACAGATGCTTAGCTGACTGAGCCACCCAGGTGCCCCTAAAATAAATTTTTTTTTTTAAGATTTTATTTATTTGTGAGAGACACAGAGAGGCAGAGACATAGGCAGAGGGAGGGAGAAGCAGGCAGGCTCCCTGTGGAGAGCCCGATGTGGGACTCAGTTCCAGGATCCTGGGACCATGACCTAAGCCAAAATAGACTCTCAACCACTGAATCACCCAGGCGCCCCTCTAAGTCTTAAAAAAAATAAAAAAGTGATTGTATTTTGCATTTTTCTGCATCTTTTAAAATTAATGGTTTATCTTGGAGATCTATTATCAATATTTATGGATTGTCTCAGCATTTGTAACTGTTGCACAATATTCCAATTAAGGATATACTTTATTTAACTATTTCCCTATTGATTGTTAGTTTTTTACTCTTACAAGCAAAGCTGAAAGGGACATTTTTTCATATCTATATTTTTGTGAATACATTTGCTGGATTAAAAGATAACTATTTAAATCTTACTAGAAAGTCAAACTATCCTTAAGAAATACTAATCTTTATTACATAATGTGTATGGGTATTGTCAGAGTATAAAAGTTGCAATTCTGATAAATCAGCTTTAATTATGGTGGTTTCTTTTGTGAATGAAATTTAGCTTTCATGTCATTGGCCTTTTGTTTTTTTTTTTTTTTTTTTTTTTAATATTTTTTTCTTTATTTATTTATGATAGTCACATAGAATGAGAGAGAGAGAGGCAGAGACACAGGCAGAGGGAGAAGCAGGTTCCATGCACCAGGAGCCCGACGTGGGATTCGATCCCGGGTCTCCAGGATCGCGCCCTGGGCCAAAGGCAGGCGCCAAACCACTGCGCCACCCAGGGATCCCTCATTGGCCTTTTGTAACAAATATATGTTACCTATACTTGTCCTTTGCTCATTTTTCTTTAGGTTAAGTTTTTATTTGTTTTAAATATGATAAAGTCTGGACACCTGGGTGGCCCAGTGATTGAGCATCTACCTTTGGCTCAGGTCGTGATCCCGGACTCCTGGGATCGAGTCCCACATTGGCTTCCTGCATGGAGCCTGCTTCTCCCTCTGCTATGTCTCTACCTCTCTCTCTGTGTCACTCCTCATGAATAAATAAATAAAATCTTAAAAAATATATATAGGATAAAGGCTGTTTGTATAAAGAAGATAAATCATTTGTTAGATGTATTGCTTGTTGCAAGTATCTTTCTACATGTGTTGTTTGTAGATGATGTAATTTAAAATATTGTACTTAAAATTCTGCCCCAGTTAAACATGAAGATAAACATGGAGAAAATTGTGTTTGTCACTGTCATATCAGTAGGATAGAATAATTTGTAGGGTTTAGAGTAGGCTCTCCTAACATTGTCATGTGGATAATTCATATCCTATGAAGAAACTTTATACATAAGAGTTACAGACTAATACAGTTACTGTATTTTACTGTGAAAATAGTAACACCTTTTATATTTATTTATTTATTTACTTATTTTTATTTATGATAGTCACACACAGAGAGAGAGAGAGAGAGAGAGAGAGAGAGAGAGAGAGGCAGAGACATAGGCAGAGGGAGAAGCAGGCTCCATGCACCGGGAGCCCGACGTGGGATTCGATCCTGGGTCTCCAGGATCGCGCCCTGGGCCAAAGGCAGGCGCTAAACCGCTGCGCCACCCAGGGATCCCTAGTAACACCTTTTAAAAAATAAAATGTTAGTCCCCCTTGTAAATTGACACATGTTTATTGTAGAAAGTTTTAAAAAGTTCCTGAACCTATGAAAAAGTCACTTGTATTGATGCTACTTAAAAATAAAACTTTTTTTTTTTCCTAAGTAAACTCTGTGCCCAGTGTGGGGCTTGAACTCATGACCCTGAGATTAGGGACTGAGCCAGCTAGGCACCCCTAGAAATAATAATTATTTTAGTATATTTTCTTCTGAATATGCCATCGTTCATTTAAAAAATCAGATACTGTGTATTTTTTTTTTTAGATTTTATTTATTCATGAGAGACACAGAGAAAGGCAGAGACATAGGTAGAGGGAGAAGCAGGCTCCCTGCAAGGAGCCTGATGCGCGACTCCATCTTTGACCTGGGATCATGCTCTGAGCCACCCAGGCATCCCTGTCTATTCATTTTTTCAAACAATGTATTTTGAACATTTTCCCAACTATCTATTATTTGATCTTTTCTCTTTTGTTGGACCTGGGGATTTATTTTGCTTTATTTTTTTATTTTTTAAATTTTATTTTAAATTTTGTTTTTTAAACAATGCTATGTTATGGGATCCTTGGGTGGCGCAGCAGTTTGGCTCCTTCCTTTGGCCCAGGGCATGATCCTGGAGACCCGGATCGAATCCCACATCGGGCTCCCGATGCATGGAGCCTGCTTCTCCCTCTGCCTGTGTCTCTGCCTCTCTCTCTCTCTCTCTCTCTCTCTCTCTCTCTCTCTCTCTCTCTGTGACTATCATAAAAAAAATGCTATGTTGAATACATTTTTTATATCTATATTTGTGTGTTTTTCACATTAGTTCTGGTAATGGATATATTTGGTCAAAAGTTATGAGCTTCTCTGTAATATTTGTGGAGAGAATACTTTGAACTGGTTTTGACAAGATAAGGTGCAATAGTAAAAATACCAATCTCCTGGAGGGCTAAGAAATCACTAAAGAGTCAGGAGCCTGGGTGGCTCAGTTGATTAAGTGTCTGCCTTTGGCTCAGGTCATGATCCCAGGGTTGTGGGATTGAGCCCCACATGAGGCTCTTTGTGCAGCAGGGAACCTGCTCCTCCCTCTCCCTCTGCCTCTTCCACTCCCTCTGCTTGTACTCTCTCTCTGTCAAATAGATAAATAAAATCTTAAAAAAAAAAAAAAAAGTTGGCTACTATGCCTTGGTTTTAAATAATTATATATGGAAAATTAAAGAAATTAGCTCAAACAAAAATTTTTAAGAGATTTTATTTAAGAGAGTGTGTGTGTATGTGTGAGTAGGGTGAGGGGCAAAGGGAGAGAATCTCAAGTCAACTTCCCACTGAACATGGAGCCTGCCTCAAGTCTCTTATCTCACAGCCCATGAGAGATCATGACCTGAGCAGAAACCAAGAGTCAGAAGCTCAACTGACTGAGCCACCCAGACGCGGCAGCCAAAACAATTTTGAAAAAGAATAGCAAAGTTAGAAGATTCACAATACCCAATTTTTTTTTTTAAAGGTTTTATTTATTCATGAGAGACACAGAGAGAGGCAAAGACATAGGCAGAGAGAGAAGTAGGCTTCATTCAGGGAGCCTGATATAGGACTCGATTCTGGGACTCCAGGATCATGCCCTGGGCAGAAGGCAGGCGCTCAACCACTGAGCCACCCAGGTGTCTCACAATACCCAATTTTAATATGCACTATACAGTAATGCCAGTCAAGACAGCGTGATATATTGGACTAAAGAAACAGAGAACCCAGAAATAGATTTTTTAAAAAGATTTTATTTATTTATTCATGAGAGAGAGAGAGAGAGAGGCAGAGACACAGGCAGAGAGAAGAAGTAGGCTCCATGTAGGGAGCCCGATGTGGGACTCGACCCTGGGTCTCCAGGATCACACTCTGGGCTTAAGGCGGTGCTAAACCGCTGAGCCACCAGGGCTGCCCCCAGAAATAGATTTATACAAATATAGTCCACTGATTTTTTTTTTTTGACAAAGGTGCAAATATAATTCACTGAAGAAAGGATAGTCTTTTCAACATATGATGTTGCAAAAATCGCTCATCTGTATGTTAAAAAGTGAGCCTCAACCTGTATAATGTATCCTATGCAAAAATTAACTCAAAATGGTTGATAAATATAAATCACAAAGCAGTAAAACCCTTGGAAGATAGCATTGGAAAAAGTCTCCTTGACATTGAGTTTGGCAAAGAGCTCTTAGATACAACACCAAAGGCATGAACCCTGAAAGAAATAATTGATGAAGTGAACTTCATGAAAATTGAAAATTATTTTCTGTCAAGGACACAGATAAGAGAATGAAAAGATAAGCCATGAACTAGGAGAATGTATTTGTAAACTACATAACTGAGAAAGGAATCAGAATGTTGTGGGGAGGGACATGGGAATCTGGTGGGCATTTCCAGGTGATTCTGATTCCTGATTCTTGTTCTATTCCTGAATAATTGGTATGATTCTGTTTTGCTTTATGAGTAGAATGCCTTTATGTTCCAAAGATACATACACATTTTTTATTAGCCAAAAAGAGGGGCACTTTATTTTTTAAAAGATTTTATTTATTCATGAGAGAGACAGAGAAGGGTAGGGACATAGACATAGGCAGAGGGAGAGGCAGGTTCCCCTTGGGGAGCCTTATGAGGAACTTGATCCCTCAGGACCCCAGGGTCACAACCTGAGCCAAAGGCAGATGCTCAACCACTGAGCCACCCAGGCACCCCAAGAGGGTACTTTAAAATTTATTTTTTATGTTTATATGCTTCTGTATCACCAAATAACCTCTTTCCATGCAACCATGACACATACACACCTGTGAAATTATAGTCAGAGTTTTTCCTTAAGCTTTGGAATTTTTATGTTAATAGTTTGTGTAATTTTACTCTAAGGATATTTG